AGCTGTTTCTGGCAAAAATGATGCCAACTGTGTTAAATTTAAAGTAAAAGTAAAATAAATAATAGAAACTAATGAAAAAAAAAATATAAAATAAAATAATATAAAATAAAACAAAAAAAAAAATAAAATAACATGAAAATGAAATAAAATAAAATAAAATAAAATAAAATAAAATAAAATAAAATAAAATAAAATAAAATAAAATAAAATAAAATAAAATAAAATAAAGTAAATTAAAATAAAATAAAATAATATAAAATAAAATAAAATAAGATGAAATGAAATCAAACAAAATTAAATAAAATAAAGTAAAATAGAATAGAATAAAAAAAAAGAATTAAAAGAATAAAATGAAACAAGAAATTAAAGAATCCGCTAAATAAAACAATTTATAAATTTGTCATAATATGTTTTCGTTATTTTCGAACTATTTAAATTTAATTCAAGTTTATTTTTATGCGTAGCAGAGCAATATATTTATACACTTACATACATGCATATGTACAACAGCAATTGGTTGCCACTTAAATTTCTTTGACTTTGACTTGTTCAAAGCTGTTCATGTGGGGTTTGAACTTGTCGAATGAATTTCCACTTGTCTTACTTTTAAAAGAGCACTGCTTCGTTTTTATAGCTTGAATTTACTTAAGTGTTAAAAAAATATACATATACTGGCATGTTCAAGAAGGTGTGAAAATGGAGTCGGAATGCACATCAAGTATTGCTTTAAATTTAAAAAATAAAGCATTAAAGTATTGTAGGTAAGAAATGAATTAATAAAAAAAAACTAAAAAAAAATATACTGGGGGAGAGAAAATCGATTATAAATGTATTTCTAAGGAAACAAAAACAACGTTCTAAAATAACTTGAAAAGAGTGTATTCAGTAGATATAAAAAAATTAAATTTTTTATTTATTAAAAGAAAAAATATTTAAGTAATGACAACAAATATGCAATATTTATAACTGCTGTTCCTCAAAAGCATTTGAATTTCCATTTATACGAAATACTTTCACCCACTAGTATAAAGCGTTAAAGTAGAACCAGTTGAAAGCGAACTCCCTTTAGCCATTCAAGTGCAATTTTTGCTTATGAAAACTTTTAAAACCTTCTTACAATTTTATTATTTTTACTGCACTCCTCCATTGCAATTGCATTTAACTTATTGTGAAAAAAAATTATCTTAAAAAAAAAATAAAGTAAAGAAATTAAAAATGAAAAGTCAAGCTGAAATATAATTTCGCTTTGCCTATACCAAAACATAGAGAAGAGCAAATCAGACTAAATTTAAAATACTTCAGCTCCTCGATTGCTCTGCAAATTGGTTAGCACACAGAGGAGTCGAGGAAAAGGCAAAATCATCAACTAATTGCATTGCACTTAGTGATTAAATACTTTCGGTAGAATATAGTGTATAATAAATAGATTTGTATGTACGAGTATATGCATATAAGTGCATGCCGCAAAAGGAATATAATAAGAAACTGAACGCTGCCTTAGAAGTGTACTGTAAATAGACAGCTGCTGCACTGGCAAAAGGTTAAACAAAAGTGAGTGGCTGCTGCTGCTGGCCAGAGCAGAATGACTTTGTGGAATATTTACAAAGCTTTATTAATAAGAATTTAAATTAAGAGATTTCTTGTAGAAAAGCAAATGCATACTTAAGTCTGTGCTGTATTTCTAGTAGTAGTAGTTTTTGTTGTTGTTGAAAAAATACACTTGACTTTTAATGAAAACCACTTTTGTTTAGATGAAATTTTCGTATTGAAAAAAAAAAAAAAAATTGTTAGTGCACTAGCAAGGAGTAGCTCGTCTAATTAGCGTGCAAAGCGTAAAGCGTAAAGAAAAATTTGGAATGAGAGTAAATGAAAAAAAATTTTGCTTAGAAAACATACATATATTAGAAAAAAAAAAATTAAAAATTAAAAAAAAAATAATAAGAAAGTATTTAAATGAGTATGCATTGAAGAAATACGATGGTTAATAATTCTTTGAACCAGATGGAAAAATATCCTTCATCTGGAAGGGAAGTCAAGCATACATTTTTTTCATGTCGTGGCTTCAAAAGTGCAGTGATGTATTTTGACATCTGTCAAACTCAGCTGTCAAACCAAAATTATTTTGTTTTCAACTCAAGCAATTGGTGAAATTTTAAAAAAATTATTAAATTGGTTAAAGATTTTATAAGGCCTGCGTGTAATCGTTTTGCTCGTTCCCCTCAAGTATCGGTACTGTAAGGGAAAGTGTAGGCGAAGACCACGACTGTGTATATTTCTCCACATTCTCAGGATCTTGGATTTTCTTACCGAGCATTGTGGCGTAGTTTCTACTTGGGCTTACGTTCATATATAATTTAGCTCACACAACAACTGAGACCACGCTGACTAGCCGTACATACGCCGATTGGGTGCTCGAACAATTAATAGTGGACGACGATTTATCAAATGAACTTTTCTTCGAATACGAAGCACATTTCTCACTCGGGGCATATCTACAATAAATATGCAAATTTGTCGTATTTGAGGCTTCGAGAATTCTCAAATAATTGTAGAGACGCCAATATACAAAAAAAAAAAAAAAAAAAAAAATAGTCTGGTGTGCTCTTTGGTTCGGAGGTGTGATTGGACCGCACTTCTTTAAAAACGTCAACGGCGACATTGTTACATGGACAATATGTGGTATCCAAAATATGATGCCATATGCCACATGCGAGTGGTACTTTAATACTCCCATATACCAATAAATGTTAACTAGACGATTTAGCATCAGTTTCGCACTAGTTATATACTAGTTCATATAAAGAGTGAATTTTTAGCTTTTATCTTTCTGGTAACACAGGCTTAACAAGCTGACGCATGTCTCGTGTTTTGTGTCCCTGTCAAACATCTTGAGTTTGGTCTTTAATTTAACCATGAATCGTCTTTCAAACGGACAACGCTTGCAAATTATTGAATTTTATTATCAAAATGCATGCTCTGGTAAGCCAGTTCCTCGCGCGCTTCATCCGTGCCCGCTTCCCGCTCATATTTGGCTTAGTGGGTGTGTAAATAAGCAGAATTGTCAATTTTGGAGTGAAGATCAGCCAGTAGCATTGCAAGAGCCACTAATGTGAGCCAGAAAAAGTCACAGTTTATCGCGCTTTATGGGCTGGTGACGGTATTGGACCGTAATTCTTCAAAGATGATGCGAATGGTAACGGAACTATGAATGGCGAACGCTATCGTGAGATGACGTCAAACTTTTTTTTTGCCCAAACTGCAAGAGCTTGACTTGCATGACATGCGATTTCAACAAGACCGTGCCATATGACACACAGCACGCGTAACAATGGATTTATTGAGAGGCGAGTTCGGTGAACGTTTTATTTCACGTTCAGGACAGGTCAATCGTTCGCCTAGATCGTGCGATTTAACGCCTTTAGAATATTTTTTGTTGAACTATGTTAAATCTAATGTCTAGACAGACAAGCCCGCTTCAATTGATGGAGGACAACACTGAGGCGTTTATATGTGAGATACCGGCCGAAAGGTATGTATGCCAAAATTGAACTAAGCCGATGGATCATTTAAGGCGTAGTCACGTTGAACATTTGCATGAAATAATCTTCAAACATAAATTATATGAAACTTACTATCGATTCAAATATAGATTTCTTGCATTTCTCTGAATTTAAAAAATCACCCTTTACATGTGTTGAATCTAAATATGTTTTGTAGAAAAGGAACTGTGCTGGTTAGTTTACTATAGAGTGTCTGCGCGGCATACACTTTTCTTATTTCACCTGTAACTGTTAACATTCTTACATACGTATATGTTCATATGATACTTAATGAAAGTTGCTTGAAATAAACATAAAAAAAAAATAAAAAATAAAAAAAAAACAAAAGCAACTCTATTTTCTTCACGTCATTGTATACAACTTGCTCCTGTCAACTTTTTACATTCCAACATTTCCATTGCAGGTGGTAAGTATTTCCATTTTTCAGCAATTTTAACTTTTATCAAGGAAAAGAAAAAAGAAAAATTGCCGTTTTTGAATCCTTTTTTCGGTACTTTTGCTTTGAGATAAGCACGCTAAGAAAAGTTACGAAAGTTGTAAACTTAAAAGAAGCACACATGTGCATACATACCCGTACTTATGCGTCTTAAGCGCATATATAAATATAACGGGTGTTTTTTTTTTGACATGAGATAATTTAATGCGATGGCCAAGAATTGAGTTCACTAAAAGTTTCCTACAATAAATAGATTGAAGCTCTATAGCGTGTCCCATTGACTGTACTTTATGGGCGACTTCATTTTGGAAGAAATATCGAGTAAGTGATTACCTCTGTCTATAGAGCAAAGCAAATAGAGATTTCTTGATGTTGTAATAGCGTCTCAGCAATGGCTTGTATCGCGTGACCCGGGTTACTTTGAACATTGTTCCACAGTAAACTGAGTTTAAATCAATTAACACATGTCAATAAGTCGAACTCCAAAATAATATTGCCTTATTGAATATCACACTTGTAGAAAAACACCCTTTACATGTACAATACATAAGGAACTGTATAGCAAAGAAAAGTCAAGGGAAAAAATTCCGTTTTACGGAAATTACAAGAAGAAGACCTAATACACTGACTGACATTGACAGTTGCTGTAGGATTATAGAATTGCGAAAATGTGAAAGGGGGAAAGCTGGATGTTAAAAAAATTTATTAATTTAGTAAGGAAATTTTCTTCCGCCAAAAAGAAAAACAGTAAACATTTGGGTGGTTGAGGCTCTGAAAATTTTTGGCATTTTTTGTTCTAAACTCCAGTTTAGTTAAATTTTTAATTCAAAGTAGAAAATGTAATGAAATACCATCACTGACGACCTTGAAAAGCCCTTGCGATTGCTTAGTTTAGTAAAATGTTTTCCAATTCAAATTGATAAAAGAAGACCCAATCGAAAGTGAAACTCTTCTCATAGAAAATTCTATTTGTATGACAATAAATATTGTGAAACACCACTTACCTCCACAAGAAGAAGGCCATCACGATGAGTACAATGCCAAAACAACTGAAGATGATGCCAACCAAGACGGCCAAGTTATAGTCATTATGTGATTGTCGCAAGAGTGGTTGAATCTTTTCACAGTTGGGGTGTAGGGAAATCTGCAAAGAAAGAGAAAAAAATTTGCTTTAATAATAGTACTATTATTTGTTAATGTATTATATATATATGTATATATATTAATGTAAGAAATGAACTCTCACTCTTTCTTAATACACATTACATATGTACATACAGTGAGTTCAAAAAGTGATCACGTATAGCAAAAAATACCGCAACACAGATGCTCTTTAGAAAAATAAAAATCCAAATGACCTTTTTTTTAACGAAAAGTAAAATATATTTAATCAAAAACTTTTTAACATAAACAGTAATTTCATTTGAAAATCACTTGGAGCTATAGTACAATACATATAAAATAATGCAATTCATGTGAACAGCAGCGCCATCTTTTAGATAAAAACCGAACGAACTATTTACTAATATTGAACTTAGAGTTAAAGTAGCGATTGAAGTTCAATAACTGATAATTTGTGGGATCTCCTTTAGTTTTTAAGTTCACCTTGAGTCCAGAGTTAATCTAGGGCTTTCGGTGTTTCTCTTTGAGTAATTAACCGGTTTTTTTACAATCGCTCATAAATTTTCTATAGGATTCATAACGGGTAACTGTACTGGCTACTCAATCACCCGAATTTCGTTATTTGGCAACCTTTTTATTTCTACTGTGGGTGGTATGTTTAGGATCGTTATTCTGCATGTAAAACAGATCACCGGGTTTGAATCCAAAAATATCAAAGCTCGGAACAAGTGAATTCTCTAGAATGCTAATATAGTCTGTAGCGCGGATTATTTCGTTGATTCGACACAGTTTTCCCAACTTTCCCCCACAAGAACAATTCCACACCATAAGGGAACCCCTTCCGAGTTTAAGTGTGCGTAGCGACGTCCATATGAGTCCATCGGAATTAATACGTTTAATTTTCGTTTCGTCAGGCGCTTTTTTGAGCTCTTTTAATACAAGTGTTAGATTTATGGGCCTGCTCAACTTCTTGGGTTTTTGGGTGTGTCAAACGTGTATTGTTTCTATACTTTACTAACGACACCAATTCAAATTCTTACGTTTTTGTGCAATGGCTCTAACCGAAAGCGATCAATTTGAGGTCGACTCGAGGTTAGGTTGGGTTAAGCGGGCTGACCCATTGGGTCTCACATGGACGATATTACATCCCTTTGCTGGACATTCATAGCTTACGCGGCCTACTGTCTCCATATATTCCCTGCATTTTCTTATATTTGTTATCCCCAGTAGACCTAAGTTAAACGCATGAGTCATCGAAAGGCAATGTCCTGTTAGAAGTCCCATCAACAGTCTAGAGTCCGGGCCCTTTACAGATAGTTTTAGCGATACTACAGCCCTTAGCTCATTCCTAAAGTCTATTTGCCTGACGCAGTAGTATTGTTTCATTTCCTTGAATGGAAGTGGAAGGTTTGATGCTGAGTCTTCTTAGCAAGTACGTCGGCTTAAATTATTATTGGAAAATAGCCATTCCACACTAAACGAGGTTTTGGGCGAGGTGATGCCCGATCGTATGACTTCTTTAATTTATTGCTGGAGATGTACAGCTACTGGCGTACGTCGATGCTATTGGCATCATTGGCCTCAAAGACCAGGCTTTCTCCAGACGATTGATGGATATTTAAGAGAAGCTCTTAATTCGTTTATTTGAAAGGTATTGGAATTACTTGCCATACAGTTTCAGCTTAAAAAATCTCTCTCTTTTTTATGATAATTTTTTATATACTTAACTGGCCTGAGCTCGAAGTCATAAGCATAACCGCTTGCCAGCTACAACCTGAATACTCTTGTGCACAACAACAAATCAAGGACAGTATTACAACTTAAGTTTAGCTCCAGAATATGTTAAGGTATAATATAATGAGATACAGAAAAATAAAATGCGGCCAAGAGCAAGCGGTTACCAAGGAAAATATGTATGTGTGTGTGTGTGTGTGTGTGTAAAACAAATGGACCGCTGAGAGGTTGCCTCTAAGTGAAACGGAAGCACAAAACGCCAGCGGAAGGCTACCATGACCGGAATTGGGAAAGATTTATGAGAACGATGTCAGCAATGAAACAAAATAAAATTCATAAAAATATATAAATAAATGCACGCAAGTGTACATGAGCAGGTAGGAGAAGCTTGAGCACAGCTTTTTACATATAAACATCATTAAGGCATATTATTCGACCTTTTAGATGAGCATGTTGTGGTTTTGCAGCAGCTAGATTGCTAGAATCGGTGTTTGGAGTGTGGATGAAATAATGTGGCTACCGTTAGACCAAAGTCAAAGCAACTAACCGGCGAGTGATCAGCCAGCCAAACCAGCCAACCAACCAACCAACCAACAAGTCAGCCAAATAGCTAAGTAGCCAGGACACGCCAGAGGTTGGAGCTCAGCAACCTGAAGCCCTGGCAACTACAACGGAAGCAGTTGAGGAGACAGGTGGAAGCGGATTTCGCTTCTGGCGGTTTTAGACAAACTGAAAAATATAATAAATAGATACGAAAGCTGCGCGTAGGAAATGACGTGCCACACAAATGGGCAATAAAACAAGTAGATACAAAAAAAGGCGAAAACAATATAAACGGAATGATGTTACTACTGCACTCCACACCATTGTCTGTCAGCAATAATGGCGCAACAACGGCAACAAAAATGTATAAATTTGTAAAAGTGGCAAAAGCAGACGTTTGTGTCAGGTATGCTGAAGGATTATGATGAACTTTTAGTGGAAAAAAAATTGCAAATAAAAATAGAATAAAAATAATAAATGGAAACAAAAGACAACAAATATTTTGCATGTTTTTCTTATTTTCGGCTATGCAAGCGATGGCCCCAACAGCGGTGTTGCTAACGGGATATGAATACCTGGAACACGGCAGGTTATAAACGTCGCTTTGAGCGTAAGTAAGTGTGTGTGTGTGTGTGCCAGAGTGTGGAGTGCAACCGCTACGTGGTCTAAAATAAAATATGAAAAATGTGGAAATTATGTTTCTGAATATATTGCTTGCTTGTTTGCTTGTCAGCGACAGAGATGCGGCGTTGTTTATGGGTAGTCATGTAAGGCAACTTCCAAAAAAAAAAAAAACGCAGAAAAAATTGAAAAAAATCTTGAATATAAATTTCTATAAATCTCAGCTTACATACATACATATGTATATACGGGCTAGTGGTGTTTGGGTGTAAAATGTCATGATTAGAACAGTCCGCAATATTTTTCAAAGTTTTTTTGGGTGAAAATATGTAAAAAATACCGTTAAGCCCGATGCTACTGATATTTCGATTGCAGATTGGAGTATTTCGACTGGTGTAACAAAAATTTCTAGTTGGACTCTATGGCATTATTTGCGAAACACTACAGCATAGAAATAACCGCCTCGCGAGTTTTCCAAACTTATTTTATTTGAGGTAATTTTCGACCAATTTTTGGCACATTTGGGGTTACCTCAGTCACAACTTGACGAATGTTGGTTCAAATGCTCAAGTGTTCAAGTTTACCCGAATCAACACGGTCTTTTACGTAGCCTTACAAAAAAAAAAGTTCAACGGTGTCAAAGCGCATGATATCGGAGACCATTTGACTGCACTAACCAGGAAATTTCTTTCGCAATAAAGCTTTATCCATTCGTGATTATGTGGCACCATCGAGTTGAGACCAGATATTGCCCAAGGCGGATATCATACGACTGTAACACCTCCAGTCCAAGGTGGCCACCAGACAGTAATATTTTCTCTCTTCATTTACTTAAGAATTCTTAAGCTACCAAATGTGATATTTGTGCTTAGTTACGTGTCCCACGAGTGAGATTTGTGTCTCGACGCTGAAGAAAATCTTATTCGAAAATTGCTTGTAGTTCAAATACCCAATCGGCGTATGCTAGCAGATTTCAGTTGTTGCGTGGCTTGGACTTTATATGAATGTAGGTGTAAGCCCAAGGGCAAACTACGCCAAAATTTGTCGTAAGAAAGTTATCGAGAACGTTGGTGAAACAGACAGACACTTTCTCTTACAATAGTGGTATTAAAGGCGGCTCAGAGTTAATTGTAGTCACCCTGCTGATCTAAGTAAAAATCCAAATGTGTACCGAACTTCAAGTAAATCGAACCATAGTTTTTCTAAGAGTGCCTTCCCTGGTCCACTTCCCAGACAAATTTTTTCGTAGAAACCTCTGCAGGAGACAAAGATTGAATTTATAAATTTTCAATGTAATTTGCCGGGTAGTTTCGGAGATCACTTGAAAGAAACAAACAAATTTTATATATATATTGATCATATTTAGGAAAAATGAGCGAAGGTGTCGAATTTGAATTTAAAGCCATAAGCGTGGCAACAACTGAAAGTAATAAGAATCTGAGATGAAGTAGATGCTTTCCTTAGTTATTAAGGCATTTGGTAAGACTAAGCTGAGGCACGGCGACATTGACATAGTTCAGCGAATCAAAAAAAACCGACTACGTTGGCTAGATCATGTGGTCCGGATGAATAAAACACAAAAAAAGAATTGAATGTTGTTAATGCAATGTTGCTAATACGGTAAACAGCATCTACGGCGCTAGTAAAGAAGAGGAAGAAGCTGACCGCACCACAATATAAAATAAAAATAATAAAAATCTCGTCACCGAAATCAGCTCTGTGACTCTGTGAATAATTCTCTTAACCATCTTTGCTCTTGACACACCACGTTGTTGTTGCTTCATTGCACACTTTATTAGCTAAAATAGAATAAAAAAGACGACTTAAGTGACTGACATCGTCGCCACCGTTAGTTTTTCCTTTTTTCCTGTGCTAGCCAAAGTGTTCATGTAAGTGAGCAAAATGATATAATGATTGATGTTTGTTGTGTTGACATGTTGTTGGAGTCAAAGCGGAAGTTTATTGCTATCAAAAAGTTTCATATTTTTTCTACCTGAATAAATGCGGTCATTATGTAACACATGTGAATGGCTAGAATTATATATGCACACATACATATATACGAAAAATATAAGGGTTAGTAATTTTTCACTGCTTTTCATTTGAAGAGTCGTTAATGCGAGC